TACAGTAATCCAACCTCGAGGTGACCGTCGCATGGATCACAGTGGCCAGGTCTTCCCGGCTGAGATAGGGAACCAACTGCCTGGCCAGCCGCAGGTGGTAAAAGGCTGACCTGGCAGTGGGTGCCACCTGGGCCTCCATTGTTAAGGAGGAATCCAGGAGCACTCCCAAGCTCCTAACCTCCGGCGCTGGCACCAATGGCGCCCCATCAGAGATCAGGAGTAGGATCCATCCTCCCAACCCGCTCCGACTCACATATAGGACCTCCGTCTTTGTCGGATTCAGCGTCAGCCGGCTCAGCCTAAGTCAACCAGATGCGGCTTGTAGTGCCCGGCTGGCCCAGCCAAATCGCCAAACTCTCCCCGGCCTCCCACGCCAGGCCGGCACACTCGATGCCCATGATCTTTGACAGCGGGAGCACCCTGAAGGAGTAAACTTCCCGAATGTACAGAGCCACTCCTCTGCCCTACCCCTTGGTCCGTGATTGGTGAAGAACCGAGGAGCCAACTGGGAGAAAGCCACTGTCTCCCCATCTAGCACCCAGGTCTCGGTCATGCACGCCCAGTCCATATCCTGCTCCAGCAGGAAGTCACAAAGTACCATGGTCTTATTATTTATGGACCTGGCATTACACAGCACCAGTGACGGAGAGGGGTGGTTAATCCAAGCCACACTGCCAACTACCTTTGGGATGGGACGTAGGCTGGAAGGGGGCCGAGCCTTTCTGTTTCTCAGTCCCCTTCCCTTACATTTATGCCTAGTCCCACCGCTATACTTTCCCCTCCCCAGGAGCACTGGTATCCCTTGGCCAGCCATCGCCACTAATGGTCTTCGCTAAGCCACAGACCACTAGTAGGCTGTTTGGTAGGTGGGAATGTAGGAGTTCTATAGCAGTTCTCTCTGCCATAGTAGTCGTCCTAGATAAACTCAAACAAGCCTAATTTATCCTAATATTAATTAATTCTAATGGTCTAACAATTTGGTGCAGAAATCGCTCTCATGCACTGGTCAGTAAAAATATAAAGGCCAGTGATAACATCCCAATTTGCCCTATAGCTCTAACTAGAAGTTCCAACCCCCAATTTGTTAGATATTAATTACACACAAAAACAACCCATAGGATAATTAGTCCCTAGCAATCAATTGATTAATCCAGTACAATTCATTCCTTTGCTTTAATCTGGCAGGATTTTAAATCTCTATTCATGCCTTCAATAAATTGCTCCCACATTTGCAATAATTACCCTACTATAGTTACCCCCAACTAACATCAACTTCAAATTAATTTTGGTCTAACTCTCTAGGTGTCCTAGCTCCAATGTCTTGGTAGCCACTTGTCACCTTCTCTATTCCACATGTGCGCTCCAGTGCAGAGTCTCTTGTTGCTTTCGTGCGCCGTGGTGAGACGGTTCCTTTTTTGAGTCCTGAAAGTCTTCCTCGGTCGTTGTCTCCCCTGTCGCTTCTCCAAAGCGCCCGGTGGCCCCTGGTCCTGGTTCCTGCCTGCCAAGTTATCCATCAAATCTTGAGTAAAAAGGGTTTCCGCAGGTTCAGAATTTCCTGTTTTTATCATCGGTGCTGCTGTGTGGAAACTGGCGAATCTTAGAAAACAGCCTCATGTTTTCAGAATTTGCTTGGTGCGAGCATGTTTTGTGGGATAGCTCTTTGTTCAGGGGATTTTGTTTTGCCTCTTAATTAGGTAAGAGGGATCAAGCAGGGGCAGACTGGCCATTTGACTTACAGGGAAATTTCCCGGTGGGACACTGTCCTAGAGAGCCACTGGTAGCAAGGAACAGGCACAGCCAACCCCCAACAACTCTGCCAACACCTTGAGGGCCACTTAGTTGGGCTCTTCAATGGCAATGCTTGTTGTCAGCTGACTGATTGCTTCCTCTGGCACTGCTGCCAGCTTGCAGGAGAGAGACATGAGTGAGCCAATGCTCATTGTTGGTGATGCCAAACTAAACAGACCTGCAGCAATGGCTTATTTCACAGCAAGGGCCACTCAAGCTTGGCTTGCTCCAGGGCCATTTTAACTTCCCAGTCCACCCTGAGAGCAAGCATGCAAACTTCTGAAAAATGAGTGTGTCAGCTGTCATTCAGTAGCAGACCATCTGCTTGGCATGCTGAAGGTCCCAGGTTTAACCTCTGGCATTTCCAGTTCAAAGAACCAGGTGATGTTAAGGACCTCTGTCTGAGAGCCTCTGTCAGTCAGAGCAGACAGTGCTGGCCTCCAGAGAGCTATGGCCTGACTCAGTAAAAGGCAGCTTCATGTGGTCACAAAGCTGGAAGGATGAACAAAATATGGTGACCTAGATAAAAACAAATTAAGCCAGAGATTATTGTGCCCCCCCTCCCCATTCTGCCGCTGCCAAAACTGTAATTTTCAAATGTTGATGAAATGGTGCTTATATTAAGTAACAAGAAAGTGACTAATGTCAAGATACAATAATGCGGTTTTTAAATTGAGTTTTTTAAAGTGACGGGCTGATCGGGTAATGTTGCTGAAGCTGAACTCATTGTAAAAGGAGCAGAGCATGCTGTGAGGGACAAGCTGCAGTGAGATAACCGTCTCTCTCTCCCACGCAAAAATTGGGGGGCACCCTCTCCATTCTCATCAATCCAACGTGTGCAAAATAAGGAGGAGCCCAACGGTTCAATCGTAAGCACAGTTGCCTGGGAGTAAGCTCCACAGAATACACCTGAGTAGGATTCTGGGTAGCTCTGTTCAGGATTGCGCTCCAAATTTCTTGGCCATTAAAACACAGCACAGTGATTAATCCAGCACTGTTCATTCTGTGCAGGGCCAGATGAACATATCCTGCTGAGGCCCTAAATTATGTTAAGTTTCAGTGGCTCCATAGCATTATCAAAAAAAAGTAATTTAGTAATTTTTAGTAATCTTTTTTTTTCTATTTAGATGCCACATCTCCAGGAGTTTCCCAACCTGGAGCAGGCAGCCATATGGCCCCCAACCCCCACCAGTGGCCATGGGGTCCCTGGCAACCCTAGAGATCTTTGTTTGTCAGGCAGAGCTGGGAATGCCCGGCTAGACAGAGTACTCGCCAGACTTGGGGCTGCCAGCTTTCCAGGGCCCAAGGCCTTGCCTAGACATGCAGGAGAATGAGGCGGTGATCAAGTGGCAGAGTGAGGAGGGGGTTGAATGGACTGGACCATTTCAGACTCTTTCAGTTTCCTGACCCTAATAATTCCTTGTAGGTAGCAAATTAAATAAATAAAACTGAATTGCTGAGACTGGCCTGAGCTCATCAGAGCTTGGAAGCTAAGCGTGTTGGCCCTGATTAATACGTGAATGGGGGTGGGTGGGTCCCTGAATAAGACCAGGGTTGATATGCAGAGGAAGGCAGTGGCAGGGCCCCCCCCCATCTCTTGCCTTGAAAACCCCATGAGTGGTTGCCATGATTTGGTTGCGGCTTAATGGCACTTAATTAATTAATTAGAAAATGAATGTGGTATGCAAGCAGGTAAACTAAAATCTTTCTCCCTGATGGTGACAATTTACTATGTGCAGGGAGTTTTCAACCTAGGCAAAAGATTTTGGCCACCAGCCCAACATTCTTCCTTTTATTCAGAAAATTCTGAAAACTCAGGAGTCGTTAAAAAGAAATCAGCTGGGACTTTTTAAATCTAGCCAGCTGGTAACCTTAGGTCTGATTTAATGTAATGTTGTTGTTGTTGTTATCAGAGGTCATTTCGGGGGGGATCGCGGTTCCCCGGGGTGAGGTACGGGGGGCGGGGCACATGACAGTGGAGCTGCAAGGCCGGCGGCGGCGGCCGGAACCGTTGGGGGTGGGGTGTGCGGCCTTATGACATAGTTCCGGTGATGGCAGGGGGTGTGGCATATGCTAATGAGTTATGCTAATGAGTACCCCTAGCTCTTTTTCTACAAAACGACCCCTGATTATTATTATTATTTCTGGCTTGGGAAGTCCCTGCAGATTTGGTGGTGGAGCACGGGGAAGGCAAAGTGGCAAAGTTTGGGGAGAGGAGAGATCTCAGCAGGGATGTGATTCTATGGAGCCTCCCTTCCTCAGGGGAACTGTTCCTTGTAATGTGGAGATTGCTTTAATTCCAAGTGAACTCCAGGCCCCACCAGGAGGATGGCAACCCTATCTGCAGTACCAATACTGATTGTACAGAGTACAGAAACACCTTCCACCTGAAACTGGATGGCACTAACTGAAATCTGAGAAGGGAGCATTTCTCAGAGTGTAGTTACTCCAGGCTGTTAAATCATTTTCAAA